AACGTACTATACAGTATTCCCATAATGGCACGGGGTAGTACAGTACAAGTTCAAAATGTCGAACGTAAATCATGCACTGCAGCCGTAATAAAACCATAAATTAAGAATATACTGTACAATCTTTGCTTCATTTTTGGACGTATTGGTTTGAATAGAAAATATTTCCGTTCGCCCCCCCCCCCCATAATGCCACAGGTTTCGTGCATTCGGAAGTCTCTCTCTCGCTCTCTCTCTCAAAATTTGTATTGTATATAACGGTACGTTAAAAGTAATGTTTGCCGTTTTACTTCAGTGCATATCAAAGTTTGTACTGTCTGTCTTTCTGTCTTCTCCAAGTCTTCTTGTTATCGTGATGTTTAAATAAAGTATTTAAAAAAACAACCACCCCACCATGCTTAAAAAAATCGCCTGACTGCGCATGCGCGAAACTAGCTTTTCGCTGTGACGTTCCAGTCTGCCGCCGGTCGTCCCGGCCATCAAAACAAACATGTAACGTCACGGGTTTCTCACGTTAACCAGCCGCTCAGCTGTCCGACTCACGATGGCCACTTTGGGGGAGACGTTCACGTCGGAGGTGCCGCGGCGAAGCGAAGCGTAGCAGAGCGGCTAACGACAACCCCGGGGCGGCCCGTGCTAGCCTAATAGGCTTGCCGTGCTCAGTGATTTGATGGCAGCTGCCGAAGATTAACTCTAGCACTTGGCCTCAAAAGTCAACGTGGACAGAGATGCCACTCTGAAGGAAAACAGGGCAACGCTTAGAAAAAGCGGAGGTAACATGAAGACATCCAAAATCGGCACCTCCTCGTCACTGCTAAATGGGAACCAAAATGAAGGTAAAGAGGTGTCATTCTTTGTGGGCAACGTTGTTGTTGTTTTGAATGTCATTATATTTTATTTTTCTTGATGTTTGTTCAAGGTAGTACAGTACCTTATTGCTTACTGCGCATGTGCGAGCAGAAAATCGGTTCTTGTTAATGTTTTAGATGACGTCATAATCGTGCGCTTCCACACGAAGGCATAAATTAACAGTGCAAATAGATATGCAGGAACACTCAGCACGCACAGTCTCACCAAGTTGCATTTTCCTCGTGTAATCTATCCTCAGACGTACTCACTTGTTTGCATTATTTCTGAAACGCCCTAAAATGTCACCAAAGCTCCATCTAAGTAGAAAAATGGTACACTACTGAAAGAGGTATGATGAAGTTCTCTCACTTGACCGAGAGACAATCTTTCTTTGTTGGGGAGGAGCTGGATTGTCAGTGGAAGTTGCACGGTCTTTGCTTTATCTATTATTAGCATTTCCATTTCCAGTGCATTTCTTTTTTCAAAAATAATCTGCAAAACATTTATTTTGACGGTTGATATTGTAAAATGAATTTGAAATGGTATTAAACTGTTTTGGTGTGATAGTCTGGTATATTTATGGTTTAGTAGAGGGAAATAATATTTTACTCATTTTTATTTTATTTTTTGACGGGGTTCGTTGTGGCAGTATTGATGAGTCCATTCCATCACTGCAAAAAAGAAACCAAACACTCTTAATGTGTCATGAACACCAACTGCTCGGCCACCCTTGTTTTGTGGTGCACTATGGTGTACATCGTCGATTATTACTTTTGAGGTAGCCATGTTGCACTGAGCGGCATGGACAGAGGCGTTGCCGTGAGTTCATTTTTTGTTGATATGCTCATCAACATGCTTCTCCTTGTTGCCATCATTAGACGAAAGAAGACAAACAGGCATGATGACAGTTGGAACTCAGATTACAATCCTAATCCAAAGGGCCCTGGGGAAATGACAACAGTGCCAGTGTGGATGATTGCACGCCGTGTTTTTTCAGACCGCCGGCAGAGGAAGGTGGCGGACATCGCTCAGGCACTGCGGGCGAGTCCAGCGGACGTGGCGGCCCTCAGGAGGATGGCCATCAGTGAGGGTGGCCTGCTGACGGACGAGATACGCTGTCAGGTGTGGCCACGACTCCTCAACGTCCCACCCAACATCCTGGAGCAGGAGCCAGGTAATGTCCGCAATTACACCCATGTCATTTCCAATTCTGGTCAATATTGTCATTGACACCCCTGTTAGCCGGGCTTTGCATCTTTGGGTTTTTTCCGAAAGAGCATGCAAGCCTTCAATGGGTGAGTTTTTTTTCCGCAGAAAAAACATGGAAGTAGTTGAATTTGATCATCGTGAAAATGCCACGGTCAAAACCGTGTGTGTAAGTTTTCCCATCAAACTACACATTTAACACAAACCAAGAGAGTGACACTTTTGTGTATTTAAACAATCACATAGCTTGGCTTTATTTATGTCCGTTTAGTTTAATGCTAACAAAACAAGCCACGTATGGGCTACTGAATAGTTTCGATGTTGCGATTTAATAACCCTTCAAGCAACAGATCTTTTTCACACAAATGGCGGCGCAGCACATGTAGACAGATGATATTCTCAGACATCTACTATTTATTGTCTGTGTAGAGCAATTAATATTGCTACGGCTTTCCTTGAAATGTAAGGGTACCATTTGTCCAGTCATACCACCAAATGACAGTTGTGCAACAATGCGGGGAGTCATCACCAACAACCAACCAACCAACCGCTACTTCCGAACACAGTCGGAACAGCATTGTCCTTATTGGTGGAAGTTATGCAACATTTATGGCTTCCTCCTCCCGTGCAGAGATGGTGGAGCGGGACAACAACAAGGACTACAACCAGGTGCTACTGGACGTTCAACGCTCACTACGAAGATTCCCTCCTGGCGAGTACCCCCCCAAGCACAAATGACTTGGTGACGTTCGCAGAGGTTAACCGGTGCGGCGCTCGTGTACGCGTCCAGGTATGCCGGATGAGCAGCGGGAGGGACTCCAGGAGGAGCTCATTGACATCATCCTCCGCGTCCTGAAGCGTAATCCTCAATTGCACTACTACCAAGGTTACCACGATATCGTCGTCACCTTCCTCCTGGTCCTGGGCGAGCGCTTGGCGACGGCCCTCGTGGAAAAACTCTCCACGCATCACCTCAGGTGGCGAGACAACTCGTTTTGACGTCTGTGTTCCTCTCGGGCAGTCGGAGAGGTTTTTTTTTCCCCTTGTGTAAGGCTGCAAGAAACGAGGAGAGATAAAGCGGGACGGGACTTTCAAAATGATTGCAGTTATCAATATAATCACAATATTGCTGAAAGAAATACACCAGGGATTTGAAGATTGGGAGTGGCAAAAAAAATAGAAGGTTCACTTGCACAGTCCTAGCAAGAGCCAAAGCAGTCATGCTCAAATTATTGGTTGGAAATCATTATCATTTAAAGTGTGGAAAAAGAATTGCAATTCGATAAAAACAATGTAAAATTCTGTTTGACACAAATACCAAATATGAGGCAAAAAATTACAACAAATGTCTGAGACAATAATCCAAATAGATTATTATTTAAAAAAACCTGAGAAAAGATGAACAAATATTATACCAAAAAAACAAATATTGAATGAAAAAAAACATAGATCGGAAGAAAAGCAATTAGACAAAATGTAAGAATACACTTATGAAAAAATAGCAAATATTACCAAAAAATAGAAATTCAAGAATTAAACAAAAATGATCAAAATATAAAAGCAGAGATCATTCCAACAGTTCATTTGAATGAAAATGGATGTTTTTTTTTTTAAAGACCCTTTCCTTTTGTGTTCTTGGCCAGGGACTTCATGGATCCCACCATGGACAACACCAAACACATCCTCAACTACCTGATGCCCATCATCGAGAGGGTGAACCCCGAGGTGCATGATTTCATGCAACAGTAAGAGAAGCCTAATATACTTGGCCAATTTTCAACCACCCAAATTGTCCACACGGTTTGGCACATGTGCCACCTGCACACATCCGCACACTAAACTGACCAAGTGTAATTCAGCGGCTCGGTAATGAAGCGCTGCTTCCGCAAGGGAGAAATATGACAAAAATGCCCAGCAATAGTTCAAGAACACCACCACCGGTTTCGAGGAATTGGAGAAGTCGATTTTCAACATTCCTGTTTTTTTGACAAAGCAATGACATGAAAGCACACACAGTCCATCACTTGGGTCAGCAAACATGAAATTTCTCACTTTGTTGTCATAAGCGACACTCGAAAGATGCATATCGTTACAATTACCAGGGCGGAGGTGGGCACCGTCTTCGCTCTCAGCTGGCTGATCACCTGGTTCGGCCACGTTCTGTCAGACTTCCGACACGTGGTACGGTTGTACGACTTCTTCCTTGCCTGCCATCCGCTGATGCCCATCTACTTCGCAGCCGTGGTGAGTCTGTTTTGCTGGCATACTTGAATAAACGACTCTCAAGTACTGCCTTAAACCTCCCATCAAGAGACGGAAATTTCATAGCATGATTTATAGTGACCACAACTAATCGATATTATCACAACATTAAAAAAAAACAAAAAACTTTAAGGATATGCTGTTGGTATTGGCAAAAGTCAAAGTACAGTTGCACAGTGGAATGAGATGCAAGGCCTTAATTCTCCAAAGGGCACTCAAAAATATTTTATAATGGGGGGAAAAAATATGGGATGAAAACATTACCAAAACAAAAAACCTTACATTGAAAAATACTCGATCGAACTAGACTATGACAAAAGTTCTTAGAACAGATTACAACAATGACAAAATATGAAATATTACATGAAAGGATTTTTCATGTAATCTCGATTATTTTAGGAACCACATTTGTTGTTTTTTTTGAAGGGTAACGCGTGCATGCGTGTGTGTGTGTGTGCGCGCGCTCGAGACAGATTGTACTTTACAGGGAAGAGGAGGTGCTGGAGTGCGAATGCGACATGGCGATGGTGCATCACCTGCTGTCACAGATTCCCCAGGATCTGCCCTACGAGACACTCATCAGCCGAGCGGGAGACCTCTTTGTCCAGTTCCCTCCGTCCGAACTGGCCAGAGAGGCCGCCTCGCACGATTGGTAAGTCGCCGTCACACATTGCTGCCATGGGCCCATGCGGACCTTTTTCAACATGACGACACCCTTCAGAGTCAAGTCCAGAAATATCGGACCATGGTCAGAAATCGCAATCCATCCACAATCGGAACCGTTTATCCTCACAAGGGTCGGCACCCTCAAATGAAAGCGAAAAGTCTGCAGTCGAAGCACGTTGCGGTGATTTCGTTTCAGACCCGGTGTGGTGTTGTTTTGGGCCCAAAAGAGAGAGCCAGTGTGTCCATGTCCTATTTATGGACTTGAACGTACTTCCAGGTGGCGGACGCTGCACTGACAGCACGTGTAAACTAACGAGGCGGGCCTAACATTGTAACCTTTTTCTTCCTCCTCAACCTCCCAAGCATGGCAACCACCACCTTTAAGGACTTTGACTTGGCCTCGACGCAGCAGCGGCCCGACTCTGTGCTCCGTCGCCGTCGGAGGCAACTGCAGCAGCAGCAGGAGGCCCTGGAGCGCTCGGCAGTGGCCCGGCCGTCCGTGACGCGCCGCTTTGTTCGCTTGGCGGTGATGGGCCTGACGGTGGCTTTAGGGGCGGCGGCGCTCGCTGTGGTCAACACCGCCCTGGAGTGGGCCCCAAAGCTGGACCTCTTTCCATGAACCCCCTCTGAACTCCCCCCAAGTCACAAATGAAGGACCTCTTGAAGAACGTTACAGCCCCCCCCCCCCCTCCCCGGCCGAGGGGGACAGGGACAGAGTCCTGCCACAAAATTTGCGAGGGATTGATGGCCCTCATGAAAAAGGTTTATAATTGCTAATATGCGCCACAAGATGGCGGCAAAGCATTGTTTTTGTGAAAGTGACACTCCTTGTGGCTTCCTGAGGTGTTTCAAAAAGAGCACAAAATACATGTATACGTTAGTTTTCAGGGGATAGAGTACACAGAAAAGTTTTTTCCCCCCTGTGGAACCTATAGGTTATTTTATACAGGTTAGTTTGTGAATAGTAAAGTGCAACTGTGCGGAGGATAACTTATGCCAGAACTAACAGTTTCTTAGTCGACTTGTTATTGTGGGTGAGGATGACCTGAGTTTTTCAAAATCATGCCCTTTGCTGCCAATTAGACACGTGGGATGTGTATTACCTAAGCTTATAAGGTTTTTGATAAAACAAAGACCGTAACGAAATGGCACTTACAGAGGTTCACTCCAATTTCCACTGCTTCATCTTCCACATCGTCTTTCCAGCTGTACTTGCTACATTCCCCCAGCTCTCGGTGACTCTGGTCATTTGTTTTTAAAACACTTTGGTCATTTGTTTTTAAAATGCCGAGATGGTTTTGTGAAAAGCTGAAGAGGTTTTCGAGCCACCGGAACACCTAGCAAACACGACGCTTCAAAGAAGCAAAGACTGGCTTAATACGGCATGTTAAAAAGTAATTACTGAGTGGTTCTCGGGGGTAAAAACTAAATAAAAATACCAAGGAAATTATAAAATTACGTTTCTTCCCAAGTTTCCACCATCATGACCCTGACAATTTAAACAAAAAATTGTTTCGTAGGTAAAAAGACATAGAGTTCTAGAAAATGCAATCTGAAACTACTCAGGCTGTGATTTTCATGTACCACTAGAGGGAGTTGCGCACCATTTGGTGAATGACTGCGCGCCATCTGACGTGTCGCAACCTGTCAAATCTATCCGCGTGTGTGTGTTTTACTAATAAGCACTTTTGTCACCGCTGCTGGAAGGAGCACACGTTTTTAGCCTACAAGCAAGCTGGTGCTGACCTTAATTAGTTTTTTTTCACACGGTCGTTTCCGACCCTTTTTCCAGCAGGAAGCGCGACGTTCCGTTACACTTCTCAATTTTGGAGATTGAGCATATACGACTGTCGCTTGTCGGATCACTTCCGCACAGTTTTGTTAATGTGTATGCCACGAAACACTGGACAACCAACTAACTGCAAACGTTTTTTTTTTTTTTCCTGCTGGGATTATTTGTCACAATGGTCTTCCCCAGAATGCTCTGAATTATTTTCCGTTCATTCATGTCGCACTACATTTTTGTGCGGGTTTTTGGTTTAACAAATCTATCCTACGTAAAGTTGTATTGTACAAGAGAATGCGAATAAACCACGTTATTGTCAAAATACCTTAAGGATTAAGAATAAATCGCACAAGGCCAATACTCGTTGACGGGGTGGACCTTTTTGACTGATCGCATTTAATGAGCACACGGTGGACCGTAAGCAAAGTGTAGTGTTTCAATCCATTTATTTTTGAAATAAATCATCTCGTTATTCGACCATGTCATGAGTGAACATGTGAAGCTTGACAACCTCAAACGACACACAAAAATGAGGAAAATAGGTAGTGTGCAACTATCTGCTGTTTCAGAAAGACAAAGTGCTTGTTGTTATGTGAAGTTAGCCCATAATATCAGTGATACAGATATATATGTACTGTATTTTCAAATCGTTTTATATGATTTCACTTTTATCATTTCATTGCTGTCCCTTTCAATATCATTCGGCATAGGGCCACACCCTAGCTTCCTCTATTGACAGGCCACCTCCGCTTTAATTTAGTGCATCATGTAACCCATGAAGTAGATAAAAGGTGACTGCATTCCCTGATCACTAATAGCATAATTCGCTGTATAGAGAACTAAATACAAAAGCGCAAGTGCATCAGTGGCAGTTCATGCAGTTGGGATGGCACGGCAGGTCATTCACTCCGCAGTGACAGCCTCCTGATGTGTCTCCTCTGCCCTAAAAATAAATATACAGTACAATTGTCAAGTATACAGCCTCATTGCGATTCTTTTAATGGTGTGTGACATGTTCTAACATTGGGCCCCCAGCGAGCTTGTTTGGTCACCCAGCAAATTTCCGTCCTGCACACGGAGCAGCGGAGCCAATCGCAGCCGTCTTTCTTTTGGATAGTGATGTCGCACTGTGGACAATTCATGGCCTTGCCGCTCCGGAGCATACCCTTTGAAAAAAGGCAAACAACGAAGAAATGAAGTGTGAACTCCTGTCAATCGACTGAAGGCCAAGCGTTATTGGAGGGGGGGGGGGACGACTCCTCCATCCATCCGTTTTCTACAGCTTCCCCCTCACTTGGTTTGCGGATGAGCTGGAGCCAATCCCGGCAATTGAAGCCAGAGCGCTCGGAGAAAGCCCGCTAAAGCACAGGGAGAACTCTCAACTCCTCCGCCGCGCTGCCCGTCACTTGAACCACGCGGCGTATTGTAAGCGCAGCCGAATCCAAGTTAGATTATCCGTATGTTACCTCCAGCAGCAGTTGAGTCTGCTGCACCGCGTGGTCTTTTTCTGCCCGGGTGCGCAGGTCATCTTGATACTCTTGACAATTCATGTCCTTGTGAATGGCCTACAAACAAATAAAAATGTGTATATACAGTATATATATATAGATCACGTAATTACTCCCCACAAAGGCAACCCAAATAACCCCCCCACCCCCCCAAAAAAAACGTCAATGTGAAACAACTACCTTGCAGAGAAGGCAGTTGAGTTGGCTGCAGAGTTGACATTGGAAATGGTTGACTTCGTCCTCATAGATGCACCTATGGAAAGCCATTTCAGCATTTACTCCTTATCTCGGACATCCATCTTAAAGGGAAACAAAAACTGCAATTGCTGCTCTAAATGTGCTATTCTGATTCCGATTGCATTTGTGTAATAAGAACGAAGCCTCCACCCGTTTTCAGCAAAGATTCCGCGCTGTCATTTTGTCCTGTCCCACCTTTGCTGTCATCTTGCTCTCGGGCTGCAATAGCGAATGTCACGAGACTAAACCCAGAAAGTGGGCTGGGATGTTCGCAATGTGAGCCCGAGAAGACACACACACACACACACACACACACGCACGCACGCACGCACGCACGCACGCACGCACGCACGCACGCACGCATGCCTGCAGCTTAAACGAAGTTCTCCATACAGCACTGAACGCCAAATTCTTGTGGAGCGAATATTGCGATTATCAACATGCTCAAAAATATTTGGCAACAATGTGCCACGTTGGCAAGCATTTGCAAGCGTGGCCGGTTTACACACCAGCCTCGACAGTTGGGGGTACGGCAGTGAAAGGTGTGGTCCAGGCGACTCTCAGCGACGCTCAGACGTTGTTCCAGAAAACGCTCGTGCTCTTCCGCCGTGAGCAGCTGCAATGGGGGGGGGGAGACAGAACACTTAAGACCTTCGATTTACACTAATCCGGCCCCTAGCCAAGACAGTAATAAATATTAGCCGTGACATTTCAAGTACACTTGCGATTTTTAGGAATTCGTGCAAGTAATCAAATTGCAAGTGCTCGTGTATTGTAAAGGATTTACAGTTGAAATGAAATCGAATGAAATCGCTCTCGAATACACAACACACCCTAGGTAGGATTTTCCAGAGCTAAAAGGATTTGAATCCAGATTCAGATCCAAAACGGCAACACCGCAGTGCTTTCTTTTAACCAGGGCATGACATCCCTTCAGCGTTCCCAAAGTTTGTCACACTGACCGCTTTGATCTCTCGGTCGACGAGCTTCATCTCGCACTCCTCGGGACAGGACACCTCAGCATCGGCACAGTTGAGGATGGTCCCTCGCAAGCATTCCCTGAGAGAGACGACGCAATGATGGAAACATGCAAGACAAAAATGGGGGGGATGATGGGATGCTTTGCAAAGGCTCCGTCCTGAGTCTGACCTGCAGAAGGTGTGCAGGCACTCCCTGAGCACCACGCCCTCGCCTGGCTCCAGCGTAGAGAAGCAAATGGGACAGGTGGTCTCTGAGGTCGTGGGAATGAGGCTCTGGTCGTCAGTCTGCACCAAGTTCAAATAGTTTATTTGTCGCTCCGCCTGCTGAACCTTCGGGGTCAGAGAAAGAAACGTGCTTTTCAACTAACAATGCTGCCGATAGAATCGATTTCTGACCGGCTCTGGACACATTCCACAGCGAGCCCCGCAATAATTGTTGTCTTAAAGTCACGTCACACTTTTGGGTTTGTCGCTCATTAGGATCTCATTTCGGGAAAACGATGACTTTGTTAAATTTACGAAATAGAAATGACTTTTTTTTTTTTTCATGCGTAACCGAATGCATTTTATTACTTAAAATATTGCGTTTGGTATTTTCTAAAATGACTTCACTCTTGACCTTTGAGTGTAGCTCCTTGAGACTTTTTTTTTTTTTTTTTTGAGGAACCTGCCTGCGACGGCGACGCGACTTACCTCTTTGAAAATAAATGTGGCCAGCTTTTCATTCTGAATCCGCAAAGCCTCGTCCCCGACCGGTTTGTGGCCTTCGGGGACCTGGTAATCCTCTGGCCTCTCCTCGTCGCACATCTGACATCCGGGACGGGTTGGCTTGTTGATGAACGTACAGCGAGGGCACTCCCAACCGGGCTGAGAAAGACAACGCGCGTGCCTCAATTTTGTCGGCCCGACGACAGGTGTGGGACGAAATGCTAACCTGAGGGGTGCGAGGTCTTCCTTGGGGAGGAGGTGGAGGAATCACTTGAACTGTCTCTGTCGACTCCACGACGCCTGACAAGAGATCGCAACCAATTGTCTCCACTCTACTCATTCTAATACAATTCATGGAATTATGCTGAGCATGATATTGCGGCACGCCTTTGCAAGAATTTGTCCTCCTCTTGTTACTAAACAAAAGTATGAAATACTATAGTAAATACTATTAGGCGTGATTGGTTCTGCATCACGTTTTCATGAGTCATCAACCGCCAGCCACGCCCCTTGGGACTCTTTATACGTGGCGCCTCAAGATGTTGCTTCCTGATAACAACGCAAGGGTTTGCAGCGAGTTGGGATGAGGGTCAAGGGTCAATCCCAGGGTGTGTGGTTATGAGTCGTAAACTGTCATTTATTTGCTATCGTGCACTTCGGTAGCGTCGCTTGGTGTGCACCGAGACTTACTTGTGACTTATTTTTTTTTTACGTTTGGACTCGTGCGCCTGAGTGTCCGCGATACTCGCCTTCGGGTTGCTGCGGCTGTTTGTTCAGATGAGGGGGACGGCCTGACAGGAGGAACAGGAAAGCCCAGTCGCCGTCATGGCGAATGCCGTGACTGCGCAGCGTCTCGTGGTCGCATGCCAGCCGCTTCCCAATCACCCAGCGCTGCAGCGCCGGAGGGAAGCCAAATTTCTGGTCGATCTGGGACAGGAAATGAAATTGCATATTGGCACGTTCGCGACCACAAAATGTATTTGTGACCTGCTACATGCTGCCAATGCAGTGAAAACTGTGTTTTCGTTTTGTATTGCTGTATTTGACTCATCCACCAAACGACTATAAGTACATCCATGTCTGTTGCACTTTTTCACCCCGCGTCAGTCGAGTGGCGTCATCCGAAGACTACTTGCACGTCAACTTTTGTCTCGTAATACAAACTATGTTGGGGAGGAGCCAAGTTTATCCTGGGTTGTTAGCAGATGAAGTTATGGGATAGTCTTTGCCATACGCTTTTGCTCTGCGAAGTGGCATGGTCAAGGTTGACGATTGCAAGCTTTTTAGGTTGTGCAGGTGACATATGTCACAGCATCTTTGCACTTTCCATTTATTTTCGATCAAATCATCTGTCAGCGATTTCTTTGAAAGGATAATGTTTGAGGATAAGGTGGGAAGATGGGAAAATGAAGCTTCATGAAGAACTTCAAGGGTTCAAATCCGAGCTCTGGCTATATTTCCAGATTGAAATATTAACAGATGCAATTCAGTTCTAAGCATTTTGCGTTTTTACATGCATTATTTCACAATTTGTGGCAGAGGGAAAGGTCCCTTGAGATCTACTTAATGGTACCTCGTCTTTAAGCTGGGAGATGGTCATTCCGCATGAAACAAGAAGAGTAATCGGTATGGCGGCATCAGACTGTGCGTCCTCCACACCCACGACCAACCTAGAAAATGCAATCACAGAAGACCAGTTGGACAGACGAGAAAATCGCCAGAAATGCACATTTTCTTGAGCTGGTCAACAATCTGTGAAAAGATGAAGAAGTTTAGTCGCACCTAATGGAGTCTTGAGTGTGGTCCTGACTGCCGATGCTGACGCACACTGGCAGAGAGAGTCGGCACAACTTCCGGCTCAATGTGACCGCCTCCTCTTCATTCCCAGTGCTCAGAGCTTCACTCAAACGCCTTGCCAGCTCCTCTGCTACAGGCAAAGAAAAAAAAAAAAAGAGATTGGAGCTGTCACCATTAAATGGCAAAGAATTACCATGAAAGAAAAGACATCGAGCGGTGCCTTGAAATAGGAGTGACCCTACTTGTGGTGGCACTGAACTCAAGTAGTTTTACTTTTGTTTTATTCATCAGCTGCAAGGATACTGCAAAATCGGATACAATGGCAACCAAAAATGTGCACAAAATTAATTATGGAGGAAGATAAAAACCAATATCGTCGGTATGTTGAGCAAAATCAACAAGGGCATGCTGAGCCAACCTGAAATACATATTTTAAGGCATCGGGCGAAATTCTTGGCCCTCCAAAATTATTTTTTCAGGAGACCCCAAAAACGGCATGTTTGTTCAACCATTAATTAACATTGCATCCTCATAGAGAACAAGTCACTTTCAACATTTTAGATTGGGTCATAATTTGTATACATAAATACAAATAACACTCACACATGTGGACGAACCAATACATTAGTTAAAAAACCAAAAAAAAAAAAAAAAAAAAAAAAAGACCCAGGGCCAGACACCAGCGAGTTGGCCGAAAACTTAAACTAGCATCCTGAAAAGTTCATTCATCATACTAAAAAGGAGTGTCTCGAAAAACACATACGACATGAAATCCAGGTAACAATTTAGGTGAATTAAAAACTGCATACCCACTTCTAAAGTAGGAGTTGGTGTTGCTTCAGTAGCCATGATTTCATCTGGAACACAAAAGCGAAACCTTGTGTTACCTTGGGGTGTCAAATCGGACAAACGGCAATCTCGTGCAGTTAAATCAACACAAAACAGTTCAAAATAACTGGATAAATAAATAACTGCACCGATGAGTTGGCGTCTTCCACTAACGTCTTGACGAAAGTGAAAGTGGTTTGACACCAGGAAGAGAAGACGTAACCTTTGTGGAATTCAGCCGAATCGATTTCACAAGATCACTTTCAATTTTACTGTAGTTAGTTTTCACAGGTGGCAATGGAAACCAGCTCGCTCATGTCATGTGCTATTTCCTCACAGCTGCATACGAGGACTTTTACTCTGTTTCAATGCAGCCGAATCCACAGTCGAAGTTGCATTTGTCTCCATGATAATCGTAACGTGACAGTTAAAATTCCGAAATTGTGTTTTAATCGCGGGTCACATACAAATTGGTATTTTTTTCAATGGTATAGTCGTCTCCCACCATCAACGGCGACGCCAGGTGACACGAATGCCTCCACAATCCTGCTGTGTGTATCTTTCAATTTAAATAAAGAATGCGGTGATGGCTAATTAAATTTCAGACGTTCTGCGAACGTTAGCTCGTCTGGCTTGCTTTGTTCATTCGGAACAAGGCAGGACTGTATTCCTTTTGTGGTCCAGAAGGTGGCCGTGTTTGCCAAAAGTTGTTTCACTGGATTTTCGTACTGTCAGCGAACGTGTCGCAGAGGGAAATAAACTTTCCTTTCCATAATTCTATCGAAGGCGTTGCGAACATTTTTATTTTGTTTTACCTCGGCCGAATTTACAACCGAAATCATTTTTGACTCTGTTACTGTCACACTGTGACATCACAAGTCCGAATGGGTGTTTTTTTTGGCGGTGCGCGTCCAACCTGTTGTTTATCCAATCATACATACAGTCGTATCAAAATAAATGGCGAGCTCAGCTGACAAAGCGTAGCTTTTTTTTCATCATTCGGCTGTGTTTGTGTTTGTATCTCAAGAGTGTAGGTATAGAAACTAATATAACAGTCATTTGTCAACTACGTCGCTTGTCTGCAGCCAGGTAAATTGGTTTACTGGGTTTCACAGCTTACGTACTGTCAGTGAACGCATCGCCTCTCGCAAAAATACACACGCGATGCATTTTTGTGATGCATCTTGTATTAATATTTATTTTTATGTACGCTTCAATTTATAGTTCATACAATCATTTGAAAATAATGTACCAGTTTATTTAAAATGCCAAAATGTAAGGCTTTTACTCTGAACTCGAACCCGCCAATCGCAGCGTCTCCAGCAGGGGCCGCTCGCCCTTAAAAGTTGCATCTCACCTGCACACCTGACACAAAACCTCCCAGTACGTGGCCCGCATCGACAGCCCCCCGACATCGAGGAAATTCTTCCTGTAGAGTAAGAAACATGTTCGCCTGCACGGAGATGATCACCATGTGTCTGCAGTCGGCCAAGCGCAAACATGTTCGGGCTCAACAGCTGCAGCAGCAGAATCAGCAGCACAGCAGCGGACGAGGTCTCAGCATCCTTCACGATGTGAGTGATGCATCCATCATAATTGTTACTTTTTGTGATCCATTTGGGGTGGGAAACGGGACGACTGCTTATGTGATGGCCGACGCCTTGCTGCGGTAGATTTGCATTTGTGATGATGCACTGACACAGGGGATTGAGGACAGTTTTTGTGTGTGCTATGCCACTCATGTTGTGCGGTGTACGTGTGTGCTGGTCTGCAGAAGGGCATCATGAAGAGTGATAACTTAAATGTCTTCATTGAATGAGTGAGTGATTGACAGAGTTATGTGTGTGTGTGTGTGGGCGTGAGTGTGTGGGTGGAAGAG